ATGAAGCAATAGTTTTCATATCTTTTTTACACATCATATCCAAAGCAACAGTGTGTCTTCAGGTGTTAACAGTGACGATGAAAGTTTTTCTGCAGCAGATTCTCAACGTTGACGAACAAAATCAGGTGATCGAAGTGAACGCTTGGCTCAAATACGTAAGTGCATGGTCTTTCGAAGAAAGATCCCAAAGTGGTAAGCACAGATAAAGGATTCATAAACTGATATTCAGATTTGGCACGACTATAGACTGCAATGGCGACCGCTTTCATACGATAACATCTCATCAATTCGTTTTCCGGGAGAAGACCAACAACTTTGGCAGCCGGATATCCTGCTTTACAATAGGCATGTCAGTTCCACTTTAAGTTTCTAGTTGAAGCTGATTGAGGAAGCACAACTAATTTTACAGAACTTTAGGGGGACAATTAAATTTTAGAGTTTTGAATTCTTCTATTTGCGGAATTGATTTCAGAGTGACAGAAATGAGTATTGCTACTAAACAGCTACCTCTCGTTTCGCGTTCCTTCTAAGTTTGCGAAAAACTGATAAACAAAGGCGGTCATTCCTTCGCGTCTGTTGTGAAGTGTTTTCGTATAGATCTTCTGAAGAGGGTCTCGTAATATATGAATATACAATTTTGCAAAGTCCTGAATGAACATAATGACGTCCAATATGACGTAGCCACACAGTTGAGTCAGTTGAACCCATAGCCAAAAGTTATCCGCGGAGCTTAAGAGACTATATTCTATCTGGCTTATAGTCTGACAAAAAATAAAATCAGAAGGTCAACCTGAAGTAATCAAAGCTACTACCTGAGAACTAAAACTTTCGTTACAGTTCAGTTTCAGCGCAAACGACCGTTTCGACTCGGCCTACAGAAGCAATTTGGTGGTCTACAGTAATGGAGAAGTGAATTGGATCCCACCAGGAATTTTCAGAATCACTTGTAAAATGGACATTACGATGTTTCCTTTCGATGAGCAGGTGAGCGTAAACGGATTCTGTAGCGGGATTCACAAGGGAGATTTAAGATTTGCTTTCTGAAATTCGGTTCGTGGACATATCATGGCTTAGCACTCGATCTACGCGTTGAACAGCAAGAGGAAGGCGGTGGTGGGCACCACTTAGCTGCTTTCTGTGTTCAAATTAGAAGTTGTATATAGAGCTATCGATGGACTTGTCCACTTACATTCCAAATGGCGAATGGCATCTGTTAAGCGCTCCAGCTATAAGGGAAGTGACTTACTATCACTGCTGCCCTGAACCTTACCCTACACTGAAGTGCGTTAACTGAAGAATTGCCTACTCAAAACGAGCAGCTTCAAGTTTCCGTTTAGATTCTACATGCATCTCAGAAGAAAAGCCCTTTATCACATGTTCAACATAATTACTCCTTCGCTGCTCATTTCGGGAATGACGCTCCTTGGCTTCTGCCTTCCTGCTCATGATATGAGCGAAAAAATCGGATTTCGTGAATTTTTTTTTCGCATCGAATAAAAAATCGGATATAGTAAAAGCAACTTGATATTGGGGTTTTCATGCAAATATTGTGGCATCTGGGGTGTTAGCTGAGCCATTTGGCACTTTTCGACGAGTCTATAAAGCACAGAAAAAATTTCTGGAAATTTTTTGTGGAAAATGGTAGAAGTAAAATATATTCCAATTGTTCTCTCCACTTATTTCAGTATTCCAGAGACAACAATTCTTCTATCAGTCTGCTTTTTCCTGACTATTCTGTCGGAGATGACGCCTACTACATCTGAATCCATCCCGTTATTGGGTTTGTTTCCTAATTTTCTATCAAAGGAAGTGAAGGAAGCAAAAATTCAGATCTATTTCTTTTTTATCGACTTTATTCACTCTGCAGACTGATATACAGCATTTAAAGAGAAGAGAGGGAGT